GTCTGTTCTCCACCGCTGCCATTGAAAATGTCTACCGATCACGTACGGCAACCCAAGTGATATCGTTTTATGACGAACCCACGAAACGCTTATCATAATATTGATAATAATAGTCTTATCGGAATCGTATAAAACGTAAGCAACACAGTGTACAAACACAACCGTGAATGATAAGGCGCGTTATCGCGTCGATCATAATGTAAACAAATAAAATCGCCCGACCGTATAATAACAATAATAACAGTGGTAATAATTTTAACACAAAGGACAGAGAATAGAATATGACGACGGTCGACTTCGGGGCATATTATAATAATAACAATAATAACGATGACGACGGTGATAATAATAATAATAATAATAGGTACGCCACGCGGCCAGTGCGTTTCTTTATTATCGCGCGTGGTGAACTTTTTACCCGTTCCGCTCCGACCTTTATGCGCCCTCCCCGCTCTTAATTGTAACGTTATATTATCATTATTATTATTACTATTATTTCAGTCCTCGGGGAAACGACACGATTTTCCCGTCAGGTTCGGGACAGAGGGTGGTCGGATACGTAAGCAGGTAATTCGATCTCCACCTAAAACCCGTGTGTTGCAACTGTATATCACGCGGCTTTCCCGCAATCCGAGTGTATCACAACGACGACGACGACGACTACGATGATAATATTATTATTATTATAACGATTATGCGTATAGGAATAGGAGATATTATATACTATACGGTTCTTGTGTAACCGATAAATCATATTATCATTCGTTTATATTACATATATATAAATATATTTCGTGACAGGCGCAGGAGACGTAGTCGGTCCACGCCGTGCGTAGGATAGGGTTGAACGGCACAATATTACTATACAAACTCCAATAAATTAAAACAAGTCTAAACTGTGCACCACGTACGGCAGTCGTATAATACAATAATAATGATATTAAGTTAATTAATGTACCTACACAATATACATCATATACAGTGAAATTTCAATTGTCACGTGGCCAACAACAAAATTGGTGTTATAATTAAAAACATTTAAGACTTATCGATTTTTTTTTAAAGTTTAAGTTGTTAAAAAAAAAAAGCGATTGATAATAAACGGCCATGTTGTAATTAAATGCATTCGAATATGGGCCACACTCGCATAACACACAGTATACAGATTACAGATAAGTACCTTATGGCTGATGAATACATTGAAAACCCACCTCTATGACCAGCTTGCTTATTAGTTTATTACAGTCAAAGTCAAACATATGCTTTTGAAACACCAAGTTACAAACATTGAATTCTAGAAACTTACAAGAAATCTGCAAACTTTCATCAAAAGCACTCAATATTAAAATCATTTTTTTTTTAAATTAAACACTTCTCCACAAAATACTTTAATTAAATATTACATAATATGTTGGTGAGAAATATAATATATATAACACACGTCTCATGATATTTTAAGGTTTGTTGTATTCTACAAAAGTAAAATGCATTATCTACTATCCCATAAATAATAATAATATAATTCCGGAAATCGCATTTTTATTATGTATAACCATATCATTATAATACATAACCCTGTGGTCTGCTTATGTACATTTTATAATGTATAATTATTAATGGAATATTGTAATTTGTAAGTATACGTAGGTATATTATTTTTAATAAGCATTTATTTTTTTTAATTATTAATAAAAAATATATAAAAGGTGAATTTGTATAAAAAATTAAAACTGATTAAATGGGATATTCGCATAGCATAAAATCTATATTACAGTGGTACCTACAACATAATAGTATGCGTCTTATATATCAAAAAAATCTACTTTACTAACGTCATGAAACGTATCCAAACGACAGAACTGGTCACCCTAACCGCAGTTTTGGTGTGAGTCCTGCACAGGGACCGTTTTAATACCTACCTACTCGATCCACGTAATGAAGAGAAAAAGTTGAACATTCTAAATTTACAAGTAATAGGTCCCCAGCGTCGTTTGTCTCAACGTGTAAGATCATACTCCACATCGTCTTTCCTCCTTGTCAGTTCATTACCAAAGGCGGCTAAGTACCACCATAAATATTCTCGTGACAAAGTGTCCCGAATCATAGGCGTGGTCGTGTTAGAGAGCCGAGGGCAGTTCACGTCTTCCAAAAACACCACCACAATTGACCGTCGTCAGAAGTCATTTTGAGAAACTTAATGTTTGATTTTGATACGTAGGCGTAAAATATGTTTATTTTCTTTTTTGTCTTGGCAGATCAAATTATTATTGTTATCTTGTTTTGTTTATATAAGAGATGATTTTTTATAAAATGTCTTGGTGTTTATTTTGTGTATTACCTTCCTATCACTTTTTGAGCGGGTGATCTGCTTCAAAGGGATAGGTAAAAAGTTAAAGGACTAAAAATTTAAATTAAGCTCCTCTAACACTGACCAATGTAGTCGTCAACATTCACATTCAGAAGATTAATTTTTTGATACATCGCAGAAAAATATGTTTTTATGAGCAACGATTTGTTTATAATATCGTAATAATCATGGTATTTATTTTTTGATATATTTTTCGTCTTACTTACCACGTTTTGGATGAGAGATCTGTTTCAAAGGGCTAAATAGAATGTTAAAGTATTTAAAGTTTAAAGTAACCTAATCCAATAGATGTTGTAAATGTGGCTGATGTATACATGACGTATTACTTTTTTACAGAGCTTATGACATTATCCAGACAATTTCCATAGAGTGTATACGACGGTAGTCGGTCAAAATATCCAAGGACAAAATATCCACGAACAAAATATCCAAATTTATCCGTTTTTACGTAAATTAGTAGATTACACTTTACTTTCTAATAAAATTAATTCCTAAATATATAAATTACGTTACTATCACAAAATATACTGCACAAACATTAGTCAAATAGTCAAATAATATAAAATAAAATGTAAAACATTTTGTTTTTATGAATGCATAAATACATAAATTTGTTAAAAAAATAACTACCTACACCAGCGGTTCTCAACCTGTGGTACGCGTACCACTAGTGGTACCCGGAAAGCGCATAGGTGGTACGTGAAGAAAATCTACTTTTATAAATAATTAATTTATCAACAAAATTCTATACATATAACAAAAACGTATACATTATTAATAAGCGAAAAAATTGTCAGGCGGTACGTAAAAATTTTCAAATTGTGTAGGTGGTACGTGACTATAAAAAGGTTGAGAACCGCTGACCTACACTATTTTATGAAAATTTAAAAATGTTTAAAAAAAAAAAGTGCGTGTATGTATACTGCGCGTCGATCCATAAGCTGAGCTTGGTGAGTTTTGTTAATATTATATTTATTGTAATTAATATATATAGATATAAATCAACAACAATTAAAAATTTAACGCAGGGGTTTGACTAATGTGTGTACAGTATAGTTTATGATGTTATTAGGTACTATTAATGTAATTTATTTTACAATTCGTAATAATTAGTAATTACTAATTAGTAAATTTTTTAAAACGATTTTCTAAATTTTTAGAAAATAGTGTAGTATATTATTTGACTATTTGTCTAATGTGTGTGCAGTATATTTTGTGATATTATTACAACTAACGTAATTTATGTATTATATAATATATTAATTATATTTATATAATTATTATATAGTAGGTATATTTTTATAATTAAATAATTTGATATTTGAGTTAATTTTATTAGAAAGTAAAGTGTAATCTATTAATTTACGTAAAAACGGATAAATTTGGATATTTTGTCCGTGGATATTTTTACAGTTGGATATTTTGTCCTAGATTCGTATACGACAAACTATAAGCTTTTACACAAAAAATGTACCGAACACATGCATCATTATTATCGGGTTTAAAGAGTTATTAGGTATTATAAGACTAGGTAAGTCAAAATTAGCCTATTAACATTTTTCTCATATACGTGCTCTTTAGTACACGCCTATGATGTGTAAATATTTTTAATAAAACAATCTTCTTTTTTTTAGATACATAGTAGGTATAATAATTTTTTTTTTAAACGATCATAGTTGTTTTAAGTCTATATTTTCTTATAAAACTTTCTAACAGTTAAAAAGGTTTTTTAATCTAACCATAGTCAGTAATGTTTGGTCTACATGATACATGAAATAAATTTGTTTAGGATTGGTGAAATATAATGTGATATCTGGACTGAGAAGATATTAATAGATATGAAGGTGGAGGTGAGGATCAAACAAGAATAGCCCACACGACCCTTTGACATATGCAAATGCAACTGTAATTTAAGCACCCCTTTCTAACATTATAATCTGTTATTTTAACGAACCCCATTGGTTATTATTGAGGTTCATAAACAGTGATAATTTTAAATGCTTAAAATCGTCAATGATAATTTACAATAATAAATTGAATTTTTTTCTCAAAATTTAGGGCTTTAAATGACGTATGAAAAGCACGTCATTAATTCATCGTTACAATTTAGAATTATTTTTATCATAATACGTAATTAAAAAAAAAAAATATTTTTAATTTATTCATTTTCGGAAACAAATGACATTGGACCTTGTTGATACACTTAGAGAACATCTGTGAGTTACAAAATTGGAATATTAACAGGATATCAAACCAACATTGCAGATTACAACAATACTTTGGAGTAATCAAACAATTTGGCTGTATATGAATCAAAAAATATTACAATAAACATACCTACCATTATAAATAAATTCAAAGACGTTAACCCTACAATAATAGAGTTTTAGAGCGATTCAAATCGAAATATGTTCGTTAATGAAAATGTATTGAAATACCTACAATAATAAAGCTTAAKTGCGATTCCATTCGAAAATGTGTTCGTGAATAATTAAGTCGCATATAGGTATGGAATTAAGTTAAGCTAACAGTGAAGTTTTACAGCTAAACTTTATAACTGAAACTCACTACAGCAATGCGCATGTATTGTGTGTGGGGTGCATTATTGTGTTGTTACGGTGGTGGTACGTACCTTCATGTGCGGACTGACTAGGTAGAGCAGTGGGTTGGCTCGGAGCCGTTCGTTTTCTTCTTCCACCCTGCGCATTTCCTCCCTCCTTGCCGAACTCAACACGGATACTTCTTCCCGGGTGATCGAAGCCGGAGCGTTCAGTGGCACTTGCACGTCCGGCAGACTCTTTTTGCGCTGCAGTGCCATCTGGACTGGAATTTCCTGCTCAACAAAACGATAACATTGATTATAATAAAGTAATAATATCATAAGATACGTATAACAGCAATATCATTATAATATTTTGATGCGACAAAATATGTATGTTTTCGAAAGCAGACGAGTCTGTTCATTATAGATATAATATTATATAATATTATCGTTATGTTGTTTTATCTCAGAAATAATAAGGACGTATCATATAAAAATTATTTTCCATCAAACCACCGATGTGAATATGAAGGGTCAAATGTACAATAACCGTATTATTTTTTTTTTTTTAGTTTAACCAAATAACGGATTTTGATCCAATAATGTTGTAAAGAAAAATATATACACAAGTGAGTAGAACAAACGTATTACTTCGATATGTAGTGGCCTAATCATATATAAAAATTTAGTTGTCTGTTACTTAATAATTATTGAGAACCTAGGAGCAACAAACAGTAAACAGATAACTCGTCAATTAATTTTATTTCTTAACAATATTATAGATATTATTAGGTATGACCTCAGGATTCTTGCATACAATCTGAACTTTAAAATGTGTAATAAAATTAATTGTTGCGTTAGTAAAATCGAAAATGCATTGAATGAACAAGTACGTATGATTTGTATGATATTATTATTAAAAATAAAACCCTCTCATAAAATGTTTAATTTAAATTGAATATTAAATTATGAAAAACAAAGACAATAAATGTATGATATAAATATACTTATTGATTTTTTTTTTTAAATATTCTGCCATCCAAAAGAGAAATGAAATTAATTATCCAAAAACCAAAATGTTAGTAAAATTATTTTCGGTTTCTTAATTTATCACTATAATATTATCGTATTTAATCACTTTTTTATAAATTTTTATGCCAAATTGGCAATTAATGCATTGCCAATTTTTGATTTTTTAGGAGATACCTACTGAATTTTACTTTAGTATGGACAATATACAACTAAATAGTTCAATATTACAATTAATGCAGTACCTATGTCCATTGTATTTAATTTTGTTGCATTTTGCTTAAATGTATTCAAAAATATCAGAAAACTACTAAAAATATAAAAATGAAAAAATACTATATAATTATTTTTTGTAAAATATTACGATGTAAATTAAACTATAATATACACGCAAAGACATTTAAAACATTTCATATACATACTACATACAGCAAGTAGCTTTAAGCATGATATAGGTACTAATTAGATAGGCAGCTAAGGAAAGAAATAACTAAAAAAATAATCACGCAGTTATCCACGACATATAGTTAATGTTACATTATCTTGGATAATAATATATAACATACCGCATTTGTATTTAAATGTCGACAATATTTTAAAATTAGTTAGTATCTAGGTATTACATCTTTTATTCAAATTTATGGATATTTTAATTGTCTGTACCGCGTTTCGCTTTAATAAAACAGACGGGTTATTTGCTAATTTAACAATTAMTATATCAATCATAATCCTATCTTTCAAAAATTGGATTTTATAGTCTTTCTATTTCCAAGGAAATATTGAACAAAAATCTATGTACCTAGCGTGTCGTCTACCATGTTAAATCATTCTCTTATACACAGGAAAAACATAAGTCCCGGACTTGTAAAAACTTCCAATTCAACAATTTTATGAAGGTAACTATTAACCTACTTACCTAGTCGAATAATAAGTGATGAAAATTATAGTTCAAAATAACAATATTTTGTAAAATATTAATAATAAAATAATGTACACCTTAGAAATATTTATCGTTTTTCTGTTCGATTTAGGAATTAACTAAAATTACTATTGTCTGACTTAATGTTAAATTTGAATTCTCTTCTTCTCTTTGTCTTAATCACTGACAAATAATAATATATAATATAATGTAGGTACTTCCATTATAATGCACAGAGTGATTAGACATTTTTCTACTCAACGATTTTTGATTGTTAGAATCAAATTGTAATAATTAATATGTCCAACGTTCCGCCATAATAATATACCAAAGTGAACATTTCAATTAAAAACAATAAAAACACGTTGAAAAGTTTGTGAAAACAGAATATGATATTATAATCTTGCTTTGTACATCTTGTCACAACCTAGATTCGTGTAATTATTTTAAATCTAAAACAAATCTTAAAAGCCTATTCCGTGCACACCCTGGAACTTACAAAGTGGGTAGGATTTCATTAATAACAAGTTTACTGTAAATGTCACTGTTTTGAAAAATCATCCTTCTACAGTAGATACTACCTACGTTCAGTTCCCTAAATCGGAGATAGGGTGAKCGATGAAAGTATCCAACAATTTTACTGTCTCATTAATTGTTTCCCGAAGAAAGCTAAAATAAAACACATCATTATAAAAACCAATAATACTCTCACGAGGCGCCGATTTCGAAATCAATCGCTGAATTTAAATGTGTATGCTCAGAATTTTATAAATATAAAACTTAAGATTGAAATGTTTTCTAACAAATAAATCACACTTAAGATTTTTGAGCAATGCTAGATGGAATCGTTCTGGTGTATTTTTAATCGAACCATGTGTAATAAATTACACATATTTAAACTTTGAAGCCTCGCATGCATCATACCTATCGTCATAAATAAATCTAAATTTAGGAATAAACTATAGAGGCGAAAAATTAATGATCTATATTTTTATGGCTGAATATTATAACATATATTTTATGTTTATCCAAATCCGAGAAAATAATATGTTGCTCCTACATGAAAAAATTAAATTTACCATTCAGTCATATCGCAGACTTCTATAATACTTCATTTTAAAAATATACAGGACGGTCGATTTAACATAATACATTTCAGAAAACAATAATATTTTTAAAAATAACTTTAAAAAATATGATAATTTTATCGATATTATTTATTTTTTTTATCTTTTCCAGGCAAACACTCCATTTCATGCATCTAAACTTTAAATATTTTTAACTTATGCACTACTGTTGAAAATTCGATTTTCATGCATTTAAATACACTAAAAAAATTATGATATGGAACAAAGAATTAAAAATGTGTATGATGATTAAAAAAATTTAAAAGTATAACGAACAAAAATAGTATAAAATATAATGATTTTAATGACTAAAGATTATGTAAAAAAAGTATTTTCAATTACATCGTTAAAAGTTTTTAAAATGATATGAGTCTCTATTACGTTGAATGATCGCCTAGTTCTTATTCGTATACCTATTATATTTATATCTGTGATAAGAATATGATACTGTCAGATATAACAAACGAATCAACTGGAGAAGTCTCATTAATAAAAATAAACAACTAATAATTATAATTGTGAGACACCCTCCATGTACGACCCTCCTGGCTATAGGTACCTAACATTGACGCAGAACACCTCTTAGACCTTATTACCCTAGTTGTGTTATTATTGTTAACAAGCAATACGGCGAAATCAATACACAAACACACACATGACTCATGCACACAAGAGTTCACAAATATCGGAGCTCGGCCAGCCGAAATAAGTAGTTTTTACTGTAGAGTGTTTCTATTAATATCGTGTGCCGTCGAACAGCAGACGAGACGTCTCAACAATAATTGGTAGAGCGTTTGAAATCGATAAACCTCGTTCCCGAGTTCGTCTAAGAACTACTACAACTGATATAGGCGAGGAGTTTGTTTTCTCACTCCTTAAAAATGTTTTACTGTCTCACCGTTTGAAGGCCTTCCCCGGCCGACGTGTACTGCGAACGAGCGACTTTGAAAGTTTTCACATTTATAACAGAAACTATTAGTATCGCTGCAAACTCCAACCAACTTATTGTCTATGAATAACTATTTTAAAAATACATTTTACTTGAATAGAGCGACAAGAATCTATTTAAGACTGCAGCCCAGACCCATCGTTGGATGGCTCATGATTAATTCATTTTCAGGACCACGTACGAATTCAATCACAACTTTTAGTCAAGACTTTTAAAGCACAGGCGCCAGTAAAACGGCTAGAGTAAACACATAAACCAATAATCTAAAGTAAACATCAAATATGAAAATAATAAGACGATAGCGACTATCACGCAATATGATTGTACTTAACCTTTTGAGCAAAGATAGGACTTTAACCGGTACCTATTCATTATGTTGTAATAGAAAATGGAGATGTAAATTATTACAGTAAAATGTCACAGATGAGAATGCCACCAATGAGTAATCGCCCTTTTTGAGAATAAAATAGCTAACAACAACCAAAAGGTTACTGTACAAAAATATAAATCACGGTACGTGAAAATAATATTAAAATAATTAAAAAATATTTTCAGTACAAACCGAATGAAGATTAATCAGCTCAGTTACAAATAATTAATTACTCTGAACTATACAGACGCGTTTTATTTAATGTAAGTTCAGTGCTTGAACGAAGAGAAATATTTAAGCGTTCCCATTCTAATTATGTTGTTCAATTCAATCAATAAGACAAAGTTTGTATTTTTACCACGACATTTTTAATGCACACGTCTTATAAAAAGTTCTAGATAAAACACAGATACAATAACAATTTATTTTATCGTGATCAAAATATTAAACCATCGAATACAACAAGTCCGGACACGTTACTTTTGTCTAAGGTAATTCCAGCCTTTATTAAATAAATGATTTTTAATTTAATATGTCACTCAAAATGTTGTATGTCCATGGTAAATATTATGTTATTAATCATTATTGTCATTTTTAACAAGTTTCGTGTAAATGGATTTCAGTGCACTGTTTGTTTTCTCTCTCTGATCCAAGCGAAACATAGACAAAGCGTATTTACACAGAATTATTTCTTTTGATATTTTCGATTAAACTTAGAGTAAAATCGCCTATTATAAAAGCGATAGAGAATAATATTTTTGTGGGCATGACATATCGATTTGACTAGATATATTGTATAAAAATAACTTAAGCATTTTTTTTTTTTTTTTTATTGAAAGTCAAATAATAATAAAATATAAAACCAATGTCATTAACTTAAGAATACTGTCCTTTATT